GATGAGCATATATGCAGCGGAAGTCTGATAAACGGACTGACTCACATAGATCACTCCACACACATACAATCGTGAGATGGTGGGGTCTGGGCCAAGCATGGACGATGCCCAGATCCCGTACACACATACACAGATGAAAGGTGGGAGGAGAGACGAAGGAGGTGGGGGAGGTAGATAGCACCGATAGGTCACCGAGATAGAATCCGATAGGTCACCGATATGGTAGTCCGAAATGTCATCTAACAAGATCAAAATGTCGAGGACAATCAGTCACCAATGTCGGAGATACAGAGTCCAAATGTAACCAGTGTCCGAACTGTGATGCCGCCAAGTATCAACCCCAACAATCTCCAAGTCTCCAATCCGGTAAGTACCACAGTCTCATACCACCGAAGTCCAACTCTGATCTCTGTCCAACTAGTATAAGTCTCCAGCCTGAAGAAGAAGAAGAAGAAGAAGAAGAAGAAGAAGAAGAAGAAGAAGAAAACGAGGGGGAGAGAGAGAGAGAGAGAGAGAGAGAGAGAGAGAGAGAGAGAGAGAGAACGGAGGTGAGGAGGAGGGAGAGGGACCGTGGAGGGAGGAAGAGATCCTTGCCCCCTGGTACCTGTCCTGCTGCTGCTGAGGCGGCGATGGCCGCCGTGCTGCTGCTGCTGTCCTCACTCGCTGCTGCCGCTGCGCTAGCTTGCGCTGCTGCTGTCCTTCGCTCCTGTGCTAAGAATAGCGCTCAAACGGCGCTCTGGCGCCGACCTTACCGCACCGCATAGACTGGCGATGGGTCGATAGCCTCAGTGAGGCTGGACCGGTACCTATGTACCGGTGGGCAGAGGTCGGCCTCTATGCTGCGAGGCCGGACCGTGCCCTGAACCGTCCAGATGGACGGTTCAGCCCCAACCGGCGGGCGGCAGCCTCAAGAGCGCCGCCAGGCCCAAACGGTAATATCGTTTGGGCCTGCCCGTCGGGTCTGGTCCAAGGTAAGGCCTTTACGACCTGTAGTACCCCAAGGTCGGGCCTTTAGGCCCTACTGTGTCTGTCTACCCCTAAGTCGGGTCCGGTAGGGCCCGTGTGCGTCGAAGATGTAACACATAGACTGACTCAAGAATCACTCCACACACATACAATCGTGAGATGGTGGGGTCTGGGGCAAGCATGGACGATGCCCAGATCCCGTACACACATACACAGATGAAAGGTGGGAGGAGAGACGAAGGAGGTGGGGGAGGTAGACAGCACCAGTAGGTCACCGAGATAGAATCCGATAGGTCACCGATATGGTAGTCCAAAATGTCATCCAACAAGATCAAAATGTC